ACTTCTGCTCGCTGCTTCCTGATGAATGACCTTCTTGATGGTGCCCCTGATGGCAATGCGGGCCAAGTCCTGGAGGCTGCGGACAGCCAATGGTGCTGCAAACAGCAAGAGGGCAAGAGGGTCTGAGCCAACACCACAAAGCCTGAAGGTGCGAACCTAATGGCACCTGAACTCACTGGCTATTCACAAGCACTGCAGAATGGGAGCACCTTTTAAGCAAGTGTTGATAAGTGCTCTCATCTGCATTCTGGGGTTTTCCCAAAGCAAGTTCAGGTACACTAATTTTTAACAATGAAAAGGAGAGAAAGTAATATTGCCTGGCTCCGGTCATTGGCAGAATTAACTGACAAGCTGTCACCATTTACTGTGTTCATTCATGTATTAACCCATGCAGGGTTACACAGCAGAGCTAACATTCTTCCATCTATTTTAACACTGTTCTAGCAACTTATAAACTGAGTATTTGTTCCGTTTCTTGTTAAAGTAGATAAGAGCAAATTTTTTATTAAAGTGGAGAAAAACAAAATCCCCAGAGTACAACAAGGAAAAAGATCATCTGGCACCTGGGGCAGAGTGACACTGGCACACAGTGAACATGCACAGCAGCACACAGGGCTCTTCTCATGGCCACCCAGCTCCTGAGACACCACAGGGACAGCTATCCCTAGGTCTCAATCCCTCCTCCTGCCACCCCCAGTGTTGTTCCCTAAGGCTCCAATGTCCACCATCCTCCTTTCCTGGCATGCCTGTGTCCCTGGTTTCACATCCATTCTGAGGCTTTACATAAGAGACCAGCTCCCCAGGTTCTAGTCCAGGCCCAAACAATAGCCTCAACACAAAAGGGACACCTCAGGCTCCCATGTCCTTCCTCAGAAAGGTCTGCACCCCTGAACCTTTCTCACTGCAGAGCCCACAGCATCCTGACTGGTTCTGGTCTTTAGCCTGCCTGCTTATCCACCCAGCTGAGAGGTGACCCGAGTGGGGCATGTCCAGCTACACACCCTCAGGTACACTGGCTTTATCTTTGCCAGTTTCCTACCCCACTGTCTCCATTGGCTTTACTTATCTAGGAAACTCTGGCCCAGGAAGACAGAAGCTCAGAGTATCTTTCTTACTTTGGGAACCCTAAGCACCATTAGGTGACTATGCACCACCAGCACTGGCTTTGAAGGCCTCCCTCAGAGCAAGCATCTCAGACAGCCAACTTGCCATCAGGACTGTTATCCAGGGCTGATTCTGCCTCCCACAGAAACACTTTCAATAAGACCAATAAAAAGTCTCATAAACACTCCAAAAGAGCCCTTGCCCTCCCAAACTCTGCTCTAGCAACCTCCCTTACCAACAGCAGCATCTGCGAGAAGTTTCCATGCTGCTCAGATCTCTAGAACATGCATCTGACAGACTCCCCCTGCAGGCAACATGCTGCACCTGAATGTCTGGTGGCCCTCCACAGCCTCCTGGTGAACTCAGATCTACCTACACACCAGTCCAGCTTCTCCCAAATGCCCACGTTCGACCACATTGGGAATATGCACTTTTAACTTTGCCCTGCTTCTGCAAAGACCTTTCCTCCCCTCCTCCTCTCTTTAGGGAATTCCTTTTTACCTCAAGACCAAGCACAACCACCACCTTCTATCCAACCTTCCTTGGTCCCTCTAAGCCCCTTCTATTGCTGCTTCCACTGTTGCTTGTTATCAAATTTTAAGGACCAATCTATGTCATATGACTAGAAAAGTATAATTACTTGATAATGATTCCTCTCAATCTGAAAAATATTTCTGGAAGGAATTTGCTAAAGTATACTGTCTTTGGGTATTGGAACTATGTGTGATATTTTCTTTCTCTCTTTTTTAAATCACATCAGCTGGAACTCTCATTTCTGTGTGAACTGTTTAAATCATAAAATCCTAGGAGAAATGCTACTCTGGCGTCAGCTCCTCTTCGCTCTGCACCCAGAAGAAGGGAAATGCAAAGGCTCACAGCAAGCCCCACCCACAATGGCAGAGGAGCATGGACACTGTCCGTCCTTGGTCTGCCCAGGTGGCAGCAGGTTCAAGTGTGATCACTCTCTCCCGGTAAACGAGTCAAGCGGTTTCAGTGTTCACAGGCAGGACCAGCTAGCTCCCTTTCTGAGAATCCACTGCTATCAATGGCATGACCAGTAGCAGCCCTTAACAGATTTAAAAGAAGCCTAAAATAACCTAAGATGGGAAACAAACAGGTTATAATTTTTAAATGCCTAAAAACCCCTGTACAATCTTAAGGTTCCAGTGGGGAGTGAACATCCAATTTTCTTATAAATCTTGTTTCCTTTTGAATTTCTAATGAGATTAAAAGATCTGTACGTCAAATACAGTGCATTTACTCACGTAGCTGGACAAGTCTGGACTTTCCTGACTCCGAGTGGCAGGGCTGGACCAGAGGAGCGAAGGAAACAGCCAGAATCTTTTTGGTTTCCCAAGCAGAAGGGCCTATGCGCGTTATCTTGGTCAACTATCCCAAAGACAAAAATGAGAATATCCAAAAAATTTGTCTACCAGATAGCTTGTGAGTGCAATCATTCTAATAAATAAAACAGATACACTAAAGTAAAACTGCCTGACAACATGGACCATAACATGGTATTGCATGAGTACAGCTCATGAGTATTCCTAGAAAAATTCTTAAGATGGAATTTACCCAAGGCCCCAGACACACCTCTGTTTACAGAAAGTATCTGTGACAGAGAAACTAGAGAAAGGACAGTGGGAGAAAATAACCAGAGATGAGAACAGTGGGGATTCTCATAAGACATCTTTCTTGGGCTCTTCGAGGTTGAAGAGGGGCTAACTTTAGGAACAGTAACTGAAAATGCACAACCCCACCCCAGCCCAGCCACACCCAATCCTGAATCCTGGCCACAACTAGGGTGCAGGAAAAGTACCAAGGGCAGGCATGGCTGCCCCTGGACTCTTCAACTTTCCATGTCATTCTGGACACCTGGGCGACTACTCTGCTCCTTCTGGAGAAATGTCCTGACGGCCCCCCACAGTGCACAGGAATTTGGTGGTGATACACTGTAGTGTTGACTGTCAAGACATTTTTTCTGAAATAGAGGATAAGGGCCAGAAAACCTAATCAGACAGCAAAGCTGCCACCTAGGCTAGTTTCCAAACAGCCTAAACAGGTCACGGTACTATTTTTGATCATGCTAAAATTAGATGTTAGTCTTTTGAAAATATCTAAGCTGGCAAATCCTATAAAAGGTTAAGTAGCCATGTAGTGTGTGTGTGTGTGTGTGTGTGTGTGTGTGTGTTTTGTACTGGGAATTGAACTCAGGAGTACTTAACCACTGAGCCAACATTCCCAGCCCTATTTTGCATTTTACTTAGAGACAGGGTCTCACTGAGTTGCTGAGGCTGGCTTTGAACTAGCAATCCTCCCATCTCAGCCTCCTGAGTGGCTGGGATTACAGGTATGTGCCACCACACCTGGCCCATGTACTATAAATATCAACAAGTTAATTACTTTCTCATATACTAGCAAAAAGTTTTTTAATTTTTTTTAGTTGTAGATGGACACAACACCTTTGTTCTGTTTATTTTTATGTGGTGCTGAGGATCAAACCCAGTGCCTCACACATGCTAGGCAAGTGCTCTACCACTGAGCTACAACTACAGCCCTTTGATATTTTTAAAAAGAATTTCTAGCTATAATAAATATAAAATATTTAAATATAATCAATGAATGATGTGTGAGACCTTAAATAAAACTATAAACCCCCATTTCATATTCTAGATGAACAGAAGAAATATTATAAATATCATAACTATGTCCACAATCCTCAAAATTATGTGGAGATAAAATGATTCCAATGAAAAATCTAGTGCATTTTTACCACAAAGCAGAGTGATAACATCACCTGTGTAAGCGAGAAATGTTCACAACAACACTGAGCGGAAAGAGCAGAGGAGACAGGTGCCCAAGCCCTCAGAGGCAGTGGCAGCCAGCACACGGCACTCCCACTGCACTGCCCGCACTGTCTGAAGCGGCAAAGCTTACAGCACACAGCCTTGAGCAAGCACTTCTACTTGTGAGGAAGCAGAGCTTTTGTCTTTTGCAGTTACATACTAAAATATCTGTGAGATTGTACCTGGAGAAGATACAAGGACAGTCACATCACAAAGAGGAGTACACACAGGCCTTCCTGGGAGCACTGTCAGTGACAGCAGAGGACGAGTGAGCCAAAGTGCCGTCACTAAACCATATTCATTCTATACCAACAAAAGGTTTTAGAAATAGACAACAGGAAGGGGCAAAGAATTTCCAGATACAGTGAACACCAAATACTTAGAAATAATAGATACAATATCTACAAAAAATAAATAAATAAAACTACAAAAACAAATCCTGTTCACACATGGCCGGGTGGGCAGACAGTGGGAGCACTGAAGGAGGGTTAGGAAGAAGTTTGCCTGCGTACTTTTTTAAGCAAAGAGATTTATACTAAAAGCACACCACACAGTGGTCACCACAGGCAAGGGTACGAGGGACAAGCCCAGGAAAAAAAGTCCCTGTTTAGACTTGGAGCCTCGTAACCACTTCAGGAAGGACACACCTAGAATGGTAACCCCTAAAAACTGAAAGGAAAGGAGTAAGCTGTGCGTCAGAAGTAAAATCTCAGCCGGGGTGTGGCTCAGTGGTGGACCACTTGCCTGGCTTGTGGAGGCCCTGGGCTTGAGCCCTGGCATGGGGTGGGGGGCRGAGGGATGGGTAGCAGTAAGATCTGAACAGGTCTGAACTAGTTTGGGTGGCACTGTCACTGCAGGTAGACAAGCAGCAGAGAGAAGGGTGGCACTGTGGCCAAGACTGGCTCCTCAGAAAGTCCCTGGTTCTGAAATCTGCCTGGAAGCTGCCAGTACGAACCCACAGTGCACTCTATCTCCACACCAAGCAAAACTGTCTGGCTCCACAAATCCCTGCACACACAGCCCCGTGTCAATGAGCACTCTGGGCCCCAGCTGTGGCCTCTCAACACCAACTCCCACCAACATATCAACCCTCAGGTCAAAACCTTACAGACTGAGGCTGCAATGCCTTTTCTCACCAGAAAGCAGCAGAGCCATCACAGAGGCAGAGGGTGTATCTGGCCCGAGACAGGCGGGAATCACACCAGTACTAAAACATGAGGCCCGTTCAATCTAGGAATGCATAAAGATGGCAAAATGCAAGCAAAACCTCAGTGATCACTACCTTTGGCAGATGTTAGAGGATCAAATTATTGAGAAATTAATAAATAAAAGTTAAGAATCAAAATTTATCCTCTCTCTCTTGTATAAAGTTACCTTAGGGGAATCTAATTAGTAATGAGAGGTTTTCTCTTCATAGAAGTACAATAGCTACTAAATAAAGAAGAAATGATAAAATCAAAAGGGTATTATTCTACAGTTTCTAATGAAATAATCCATCAGGTTCTAAATCATGGCCACAAGCATCAGAAAAAATAGACAACAGGTCTGATGTGCCTACACACAAAAGTCAGGCTGGCTCTCTGCATCCAAGGCTTCTGCATCCACAAATTCAACCAACCACATATCAAAACACTCAGGGAAACAATGTTACCAAACATGTACATATTTTTTTCTTGTCATTTATTCTGTACACAATACAGTATACAACTATTTACAAAGCATTTACATTGTATCAGTGTTGTATGGGACCAGAGGATGTACATCAGCTATATGCCAATGACATGATATATGATTTTTTTAATATTGATTTTTTAGTTGTAGATAGACACAATACCTTTGTTTTATTTATTCATTTTTATGTGGTGCTGAGGATCGAACCCAGGGCCTTGCACATGCTAGGTGAGTGCTCTACAGCTGAGCCACAACCCCAGCCCGATACGTGATTTTATATGAGAGGCCTAAGCATCTGCAGATGTGGGCATCCTGAACAGAGGATGGGTACCAAACAATGACTGCATATTTCAATACCTGGCAGATGTTCCTGTGCTCTTCTCCCCAAAATATATCGAACAGCACCCTAATCAGGTCTCTAGATCCAACCAGCAACACAGAAAAAACAGAGGACAGCAAAACCTAGACTGCAGGAAAGTCTACAGGACACATCAAGGCAAGTCCTTGAACCAATAAGCTGCAAAGAAAAAATGAAAGTGAAAGATGCAAGAACCTCTAGACCTAAAAGCACTTCAGAGTTGTACAAACCAAAGGCATCACACCAGCCTTAAACACGATCCCGTTTCAAACAACCTATAGGGAAGAAATTTCTCAGTCAATAAGGAAAATCTGAAAATGAACTGGATATTTGAAGATATTAACAAGTTACAATGGCTACTGGCTATTAATGTTACAAATGGTCTTATAACAATGTTTTTAAAAACAGCTTTTATCTTTTGTAGTTACATACTAAAATATTTACAATTTTTAAACTTAGGGGCATTCACTAATGTCTTTATAATAAAGAGTAATAGTGAGATAGTACACAGCATCTAATGCTTGAAAGTTGTAGCCAGTAATAAACAGTTCAACAAGCATTTCGGTGTAGGCACCAAAATGATACAGAATAGTGGACGACTTAGAATCACTTTCCTGGACTCTGATAGGTAAAACAATGTCAGTCATAACCAGTGTGTTCAATAATCTTTTTGAAAGAGGAGCAGCACAAATCAAAAGAATTAAGTCAGGTGCGTTGGCACAGGCCTGTGATCCCAGTAGCCTGGGAGGCTGAGAAGGGAGGATCACAAGTCCAAGGCCAAACTCAGCAACTGAGCCAGACCCTCAGCAACCTAATGAGATCTGAGACTCAGTCTCAAAAATTAAACAGGGCTGGGAATGTAGCTCAGTGGCAACCCCCCCCCATCCCCGGGTCAATCCCCAGTACCAAAAAAATAAATAAGTAAAATAAAAGTATTACAAGAATCATATGCTAATAGTCATTAGATTAAGATTATGAGCAGTTCTTCTCAGTTCATATTCTCCAGATTTTCTAAAATGGGTATTACTTCTGGAACAAAATAAATGCTAATATTTAAAAATTGCACAAAAGTGCACAACCTCCTAATTTATAACATTTCTATTTTTTCCTGGTTCTTTGTAACTGACAGAAATTTCTCCTAAGGACCAATTCACACCTGACTGACATGCCCATTTATTATAATCTCTTTTCCCAATGAAACACAGTACCTAAACACACACAAACATGCATGGCCAAACCAGAGCCTTGGAACAAGACTCCCAGGAAGCAGAGATTCTTATAAAGTACTCACCACCAAGGTACTTAACAAGCAGACTAACAAAATGAAATAATTATGATAATTTTATAAATTACAATTCTGGTATTAGAATAATTGTAATAACAATTAGAATAACTAGGGTGAGGAAGGAAGGAGGAGAAGAGGGAAGAAAAGAGGAGGGGAGAAAAGGAGTGAGAAGGAGGAGAGAGAGAAGGAAAAGAGGAACAGGGAGGGCCACACATCTAAGTCAGAGCTGGCCCAACACCATGCCTGTGACTGCCTGTCTCCTAGCTCACGAGATGGTGGAAGCTGTTACTAGAGTATATCTACATAAAATGCAGAGGAGACCTTGGCAGACAGGGCACAAAATGTCAGCTGCAGGGAGCCTGACCTTCTCCTCCAGGGGCATGACCAGAATTCCTCCAACCTTGAGAAGACTCTTCATGTACTCTTCATGTTCTTTCTGCACACCTGCCCCACAGTACACCCGATCATACTGAGAACAATCTGGGGAAATCTCCAGGCAATTGCCAGTAACAAAGGAGGGCTCGCAGAAGTCAAACCTGGAAAGAAAAATGTATTTTCTTTAAGTGACTGTACCATACTGCCATAAGACCATACAAAAATTCATATTGATCTCAGATTATGGTTCACTGTACAACCCAGAGAACTATGAGCCAGGAGCTGAAGCCACGATTCCAAAACCCACACAGTGCAAGTAAACACCATGAGCATGCCCCAAGTTTAAAGTGGCCTATAGTCAAGGTCGGCTGGACGGCTTGATGAGGGAGAGAAGGAAAAAGCACATTGTTTCCCTAAAAAGTCTAATTCCTAAAATAAGAACTTCGATGCCTTATCCTAAAGTGGCAAAAAGTAGTTATATAAATTGTTTAAAGACAAAAGGAACAACTGTAWTTTACAAACAATTTTGTGATAAAAAGTTGTTTATACTGGAAACACGAAAATTTAGCAAGAAAAATTTTTGTTTTCTTCTCGTACTAATGAAAAACTGTCTTTACACAGGAATCAGAAAACCTAAAGTCCTTACAGAATATAAAAACAATCAGAAGAGGCACCCGGATGACCTGGGATCATCCCAACACAGCTCAGGCATGCTTGCAGGCAGCTGCACACTCAAGCCAACTTCTCTCTGACCAAAGTTCAAATTCTATTTCACACCCTCCAGTGTCTGACGTACTTGTCGAAGCTATCACTTGTTCTGATGAAGAAGTCCAGTTTCTGCTTTGCATACTCTATAACATCTGAATGTAGCTCCACCCCATGGTTCACACCAAAAGGACCTAAAAGGTTTCAGAATAAAAAAGTTTTTAGCACTAGAGAAAGAACACTTGCTTGCTTTTTCTACTTCATTAATTGCAACACATCTAACTTAGCATGTATTATATATAAACTCACAAGGTTTTTGGTTTTTGGTTTTTACAGGAGATTAAACCCACGAATGCTCTACCACTGAGCCACACCACAGCCCTTTTTATTTTTTATTTTGAGACAGGGTCTTGCTAAATTACCTAAGCTAGCCTGGAACTTGTAATCCTCCTGCCTTAGCCTTCCAAGTTGCTAGGACAGGTGTGGTTACCACATCCAGCAAAAACCCAAAAGGTTTTGCTGTCTTAGCACAATGGCAGGCCTAAACCCCTCAAGCCACTTTTTCCATGTATACAGCAGCCCCATTCACAACACAGATGCTCAGGTCTCTTTGCTCTCAAACAAGAATCATTTGAAAATGGGGTGGGGGAGCCAAGAGCTCAGGGTCTTCCTACTAAATTACAGAGGAAAAGTAAACATGCAAATGGGACAGATAGAGGCCTCAGCTGTGCTTGTCCAGAGGCAGCATTAGAGCAATTCTGTTTCCCACTAAGAGGTCCCCCAAAACACTTAGATATAGGCATTTTAATAATTCTCACAAAACAGGTTTTAATTATCGTTAGAATAAAACTATTATTAAAAGGCACAATGAGACATTTTTTAAATTTATTTTTTAGTTGCACTTGGACACAATACCTTTATTTTATTTATTTATATGAGGTGCTGAGGATAAAACCTAGGGGGAATAATTGTAATAACAATTAGAATAACTAGGGTGAGGAAGGAAGGAGGACATACTAGGCAGCACTCTACTGCTGAGCCACAACCCCAGCCCCACAATGAGACATTTTTTGTATCACAAGAAATGTATCCATAAGTTTTTTTGTTCGTTTGTATGCTTGCTTTCTGGATGTACTGGAGAGAGAACACAGGGCCTGTGCATGCTAGGCAAGCATTGAGCCACATCCTCAGCCCTTTTTATTTTATTTTTGAAGACAAGAGTGTGTCTAAGATGCCCAGGCTCACCTTGAATTGTAATCCTCCTGCCTCAGGAGATTGTCAGAAATTGCAGGAGTGTGCCACCAATTCTGGCTATGTTTCCACAATTTGAAATAAAACTGTGAGACTATTCACAAGCCCACACGATGAGGAAAAGCACTCCCTCCTGTAAACATGCTTCTAGATTAGTTTGGGGCAAGCAGAGAACACTTTACAAGCAGCTTACACCTCTGTACACCAAGTTCAACCCAGGCTCAATTCAGCAATGCAAAGGAAGACAGAGCACGAGGGCAGGGCGTGAGCACCTTCTCTGCACACTGTTCTGGGTGGTGCTTACCTGGAGGTGGACATGGATATAGAAGTCCACCAAACTCCATGCTTCACCTTACCCATCACTAAAACTCAACATGAGCAAACCCCTGAGCATGTAGGATTTTATAACTAGACATACACACTGCACTCACAGTGTATGTGGCACTGTTTGAGTGGTACTCAAACCCACAGCTTAACAGAAATACTGATGAATGAGCAAATGTCCGTGTACCTGATATCTGCACTTTGGCTCCTGGATACATCTGGACAGCCCTCTCCCCAGGCCAAGCCTCTACTCTTTTCTCTTAGTATCTCTCACACATCTTTAGCTGCTGCTAAACATTCCCTCATCAAGACACTCTTCCTGAGAAGTACTATGTTTGCTAGTTACAACATCAAACCTTAAAGTGTTTCAAATTTTAAGACCCTTGCCAATCACTGACTTGAATCCGCATTAGTCTWGCTTGTGTGCACTTGACCCCCCTTCCTTTTCTCATTAATCCCCCAACTTCAGCGTCAAACATTCACTAGACCTGATTTTCCAGCACTTGGGAAGCAGAGGCAGGAGGATCCCTTAAGCCCACAAGTTCCAAACCAACCTGAGCAACCTAGCAATACCATATCTCCAAAAAGAAAAAAAAATTAGAAAATGCTAAGTAGTTACTTCTATTTAGTAGTAGATATAGGACATGGTCCCTATTCCCAAGCAGCTCACCCACCAAACAGCAGTAACAGATCCTCCACTAGCAGAGAAGCATGATATGGTGGGCAGGGTAGTGCCTCAGGACATGGTACCACACATACTGTGGTCAGACTGCAAGACCCCTCCAAGCAGAGCAGCTCCCACATACAAGCCCCTCCTTCAGGCATGTTATCTCATGAACCACCATCCACCCCTCACTGGTAAGAAAGAAGTAAAGGAGAACTGTGGCTAAGGGGAGAGGAGCTTGCAGAATAGCACAGGGAGGCAGGTGAGATAGGATGAACCAGGGGAAGGCAGTGGGGTCAGGAGGGCCACCGCACCAAAGGAGACCCAGACCTAGTGTGCACAGGTGCTGGAAGGCCAACAAGGTCTGATCTCTGGAGTAAGGTGTGTGAGGTGGCAAAAAGGCCAAATACACTGGGGCATCTGGATGCAAATAGCCAAGATTCTGAACTGAGCTGCTTTGCCCCACTCACCACAGCAGAAGACACACACTTTCCTGCAGACTCAAGTGTAATTCCCAATACCCAGGGGACCCAGAAAGGAGAAGCAACAGTATCTAGGGTGTCTAGGATACAGCATCAAGCTGCAGGCACTCTCTTCTTTACCTCTAGGGCATCCAGAGCAGCAGGCTAGCCCAGGCTTGCTAGAGTCAGGCTTTCCAAGCATCTTTCTCCTATCAATAGCATTTCTAATCTAATCAGTTTTAAAGTCTACTTCCCAAAAAAACACCAGTTTAGCCAAGGTTCCTTCAGTTGTTCTGATATGAGGAGGGAGACTATAACTGGCAAGTTTAAAAATGATAAATCAACTGGGCACTGTGCTCTCAAAGCATGACAACCACAACAATCTCAACCAAAACAAACTGAGGTAAGAAGATTGAGTTAAAAACAAAACCGTACACACTTTAAAAGTTGAAGACAACTATCTATAACCTAGAGCCAAGTGACCAGTCTCAAATTTCACCAAATTTCAAAGTTCACAAACTTAAAAAAGAATCCAAACTTTTTATTCCATATCCACAAAAAATCAATTGTGACTTAGGGTTCTCCAGAGTGACAACAATTACAAAAAGCAGGGACTCTGACATACATGGTGGTGAGTTCTCCCTGACTTGTAAGCCGTTCTTAATATTCAGAATTTCATACTGCAAATACTTAGACCACTGTGAACATCCTTGTTTTGTTTTGAAACACAATCTGGCTGCATTGCCCAGGCTGGTCTCAAACTCCTGGGCTCAAGGGACTCCACTTCCTTGGCTTCTCAAGTAGCTGTGACTACAGGAGTGTGCCCACACCCAACACACTATGGATGTTCCTGATGTTTCTTTCATAACCACAAACAGTCCAACAGCAAATGCCGTCAGATCCAATATCAAAAAACGCCAACTGTAGCCACACCACACCGGCCTCATCCAGGGTCTCCCACTCAGCTTGCTATAGCAACCCAGCCCAATTCCTCTTCAGACTATCTCTCATAGCACAGAGCCACTCCTTCCATTTCCCTGGCAAACATATCCCACCTCACTCAGAGTAAGAGCACACATCTTTCCCCCAGTGTAGCATTTTACACAGGGCAAACATTCAGTAAACCCTTGGATATCTGATCCCCCCTCTAATATTATAAATATTAGAAATGGCCTTATTCCCACATGATTGCCACAAATTGTTCAGGAAAATGAGCTAAATGGCTTCAAGTAAGATAACCTATGAAACTRCTTCCATTCCTAAAGTTTATTTAAAAGTATATAAACTTACAGGTATTACTCTTTTAGTATCAAACTTAAAACAAACAGAAACTACTTAGAAGAACTTAAACTACCAAGGACCATAATGACTCTCAGGGGAAAGGAGTAAAGGGAACACAGTGGTTAAGTCAAGAAACCACAAGTTCAAGATCTACCCTCCTCTCCTGGTGGTGCATCGGCATGACAGACTGCAGGCTGAAAGTGAGAAGAGACAGGAGAGAGGCCCTAAGAACTTGGGACTCATGGGTGCATGTCATCCGGCCACCCACCATACCATGACGACACTTCTGGCAAGTGTCGGGGAGGCCAAGTCTCTCACAGGACATGCAGTTAGTAGACTGTACTTTATGCCCAAAGAGAGCAACCTCAGGCAATGATCCAGGAAGCTGCACACTCTCCTTCTACACTCACCTAGAATAAGGCCCACCATGGAGCTGAGGTAGCCAGTGCCACTGCCCAGGTTCAGAAAGCCCAGGCTGCAGATCCAGGGCCTCCATCACCTCTGAGTAGATACATGGGGCGGAGAGGTGAATGTTTCCATGCTTCCATGCCAAGTCCTTGTAGGCATTTTCTTTAAACTCTTCAAGATAATAATCTGCACGATCGATAGCTCGGAAAGCCTGCTCTACCAGTTCCGTSCGGATATACTGGGCTTCCTTCAGATTATCAATCAGCTCATCGTTGTCCTCTCCAGCACTCACCGCACCGCCCATGTTCAGAATTACACTCAGGCAAGACTAGAACCAAAATCAAAGAATTATTTACATTAAGAATAAGATCAAAACAATAAAAGATCTAAATATACCAAATTCAAATTCTCAACCTCTGGAAATAATACAGATGAAATGTTTTGTCTAACTACCCAACCCTCCAGATTTAGATGAAAGATACCAGATTTAGAAGAAAAGCCCAGTTCAATTAGAAAGTCGAGCCAATAATACTAAAAAAAAAAAAAAAATGATGTTTATCTGAAATTCAAATTTAAGTGGTGTCTTAAATTTTGTCTGGTAATTCTACACCTCTACACACAAAAAGACCCACTTAAGTCAAGCACATCCAATGTGTTCATTTGGGTATTCTGATGTTCAATTTTTGGACAAAATATCAACAAAACTTTCTTCCCAAAGAGAACACATTGTGGCAAACACCTATTGCAATAAGCACAAAATGAACTTCAAAGCTGAAGCTAGGGAGCAGGATCAGCAGCTACCAGAACTCCCCTCTCCCACTTTTGAATGCACCATGCAGTTCTCCAACTCTCCCAAAAGTGCATTTCTTACTTTCTCCCAAATTACTTTCAGGGAGGAAAATGTGCAGCACCTGCCTGTCACCTTTCAGCCCAACTTCTGCAACACTGAGTCCTCATCTACTGCACAGGGAAATGCTCTTTCACCTGGAGTGCTCCTACTCCTCCTAAAACAGTTCATCCTGGCCCCAGGCACCTTTTCCAAAGCCTAGCTTTACTTCACACAAGATGGTGACTCAGGTGCAACTTCTGGGGAAAAGACCACCCCAGAGAGAGTAAYTCAAACACTCTGCAGTGCTCCCTCTCAGTCCTGTGGGTCTCCAACTATAGAATGAGGGCAGCAAGGAAACACTGGGGCAGACAACTGTAGAAGAGCAGTTAGCCAGAATGAATACAAACACCACCTGTGTGAATCTCCAGCCTCTTAGAGCAGGTGAACAAAATGTGTCTCTTCTATTTACCTATCTCCATGATCAATATCTGAGGGCTGAACATGAGACTTCAAACCACAATTCAAATACTACACATCAGCCCCATTTGAAGCTGTTTCAGAGCCACAGTTCCATGACAGCCATGCTAGACAACTTAAACGGGGATTATGTGCTAACATTTGGGTTTAATCCTGGATGAGCGGCTTCATTCTGAAGCAACACCCCTATCTAGCCTGGCAGAGTCAATTGTCACAATCAGTGACAATTCTGTTCACTGATCAACAGTGGAGTCCTGCATTGGGACTCTTAATGGCCTATTTAGAAAGCCATATACCCTACTATGTGTCGGGTCAGGAAAGCCACCTCTTTACCCCAAAGCCTGTATGTAATGCTCTGTCACTGTATCTCAACACTGCTCTTTTCTTTTTATGAGATAGCACAAACTGTACATTAGGCATGCTTCATTTTCACTAAGTACCATTTATTTTGAACTTTTCCTCACTTTGAAAGTTTATTCCATATCAAAGGGCAGCTATTTAGAAAAACAGCTACCACCTTTCTAGTGGTGCCACCTGCCAGATGTGACCTCACATAAATGAGTTGGAGAAGAGCAGTTACCTGGCTCACCATCATAAAGCCAGGGCATGCAGTCAAAACCAGGACCTTGTGGTCTTAGCCCTGTGTTTTTTACACCAATGCAACTGACAGAGTAGCAACACTCTTTACCTGAAATGTCTTGCTAACCCTCTGACCATCAGGGCAACCCTACCCACAGGTACAGTGGGTGTGGTACTCTTACTGGCTTTATCCTATAATCCAACACTCCTTCCTAAGGATAGATCACTGCTAACTGCAGACATGGATGTAATCAGTCATCATGCAACCCACCAAAAATACCCACAACATGAAGATGTCCTCACCAAACCAAATCCTACCACTGCAACAGTTAAATCCAATTTCTCAAACTAATGGAAAAGCACTTTTAGGATGCTGCCCTTGATTGTACTTTACTGTTTGCTGAAATCCTTAATACAGTTCCTGCCCAGTAGTGACCAACAAGAAGAAGATGCACTGAGCTACAGCCACAAGGGAAGGTCTGTGACTGTGGCTATATCAACACGAGTAGAGCTGTGGTTATGGAAGTGGGCATTCCTAATTACATTGGTCTTGGCAATCTTCACAAGGAGGTCCCATGGTCCAATCTGGAGGTCATTTCTTAAAGGAACTATGAAGAGGATGAGCTGGGGATAGGGACTCAAAAGCACATATCCCGAGGGCAGAATGATGGAAAATGGGCTTCTCTTGAGAACCAGAGTCCTTAAAAGTTCCTATTCATGGAGAAAAGCCTAACCAGTGGTCCATGTTGGAAACAGTTACTACTAAACACACAGGAAAGCTTTCTAAAAACTGGAATTGTAAGGAGAGAGAGAGAGAGAGAGAGAGAGAGAGAGAGAGAGAGAGAGAGACTGGTTTCTAAGAGAGAGAGAGAGAGAGAGAGAGAGAGAAACTGGTTTCTCAGAGAAAAAGAGAGCGAGAAAAACTGGTTTCTCAAAACACTCTCCCAGCCACATCCCAGTTGAGGAACCAGTGGGGCCAGGGAAAACCCCACCACCTTAAAAGGATAGGCAGCCACAATTCCTGAGCCTTTATAGGCATCCAGCATCCCTCACTCTTGAATGACAGGCTACCAAGTGCATTTGCTTTAGCCATTTCTTGCTGACAAGAACAAAGACAACCTCTGTAGGCACAAGAGTGGCAAGAGGCTGATATTCAGCTGACAAATTTGAAGAGAAGAACAAAGGAACCCAGCCCAGACAAGTTCTCCTTGTCACTACTTAAGACCTTTTCCTACTGCTCAGGCCAATTCTATTTTCTGAAAAGATTCAAGGTAAAATTTGTTTCAAACTGTACCTACTACCCACTCGCTTCAGAACTACTTATGCAAGGACAGGCTGTTGTGGGCCTTGAGTAAGCTGATCCCAACTAGCACAGAGCAGGGGAGGACACGACCCACAGGACGTAATGTGGGGCAGGGAAGAGGCTGGGGAGAGAACATCATGGGGAGGAAAGATGCTGGGAAGAGCCTCTGGGGAGGGGGCGCTGGGGAGGAGGCACTGAGGAGAAGATGCTGGAGAAAGGAAGACTTTGGGAGGGAAGACGCTGGGGAGGGAAGATCATGGGGAGGGGACACTAAGGAGGGAAGATTATGGGATCCTAGGGAGGCGATGCTCCGGAGGGAAGATTATGGGGAGGGGGCACTGGGAGGGAAGATCATGAGGAGGGAAGCTTATGGGATCCTGGGGAGGGATGCTGGGGAGG